ACAGTATAAAATCCATAATCAAGCCATTCATTAGTTTGACATTTAGAAATCTGACTAATGCATTATTACAGGCATTATTGCCAAGTTATACATGCTTCCCACTAGTTTAAACTAGAGTTCTCACTAAATTTGAACAACTTCTCACTAATCATGGTATAATACCAAGCCCAAGCTTGAACACTCCATCTTGGATACAATGTTAAAGATTGTATATGACCAGCCTAGTCACATTAGGCTGGTCGAAAAAGGTTCAGTTTCAGGGCCTTATAACAAAATATTGTTATAAGGCACTTTTCCTCTAAAATATTGTTGATATAAAAATCAGGCCCCCAAAATTACTGTACCTCTCACTAAATTTCCCTTGATCAATCTGATTTTTCACTAAATTTAGTGGAAATCCACCAACATGGCAACACTAATTATCAGCAACATCAGTTGCTTGGATGTTTTGATCAGTAGTCTAACTTATTTTGAATTTACTCATTGTAGCTGTATATTCGTTCAGTGAATGGTTGTCTCTTTAATCCAAAAATATTTCTCTCAGTAGACTATCTTACAGCAAGTCAGGTCAAAAGAAAGAAGAGGAAAGGTAGGGAACAGGTAGGGGAGGAAGGAGTGGGTGGGAGAGAGAGGTGAAATGGCTATGGAAAGAGTGGAAGAAAAGGAGTAGTTTGAGATCCCAAAACTGACAACCATCACAAATAGTTACAAATAACAGCTGTACAAGGTATTAATTACAGCATGCCTTTTCGGAAAGATGATACAAAACATAAACATTACGCACCAGTGGTATATAACAACAGACCGACACTGACGCTAAACAATTTTCAGCAATCCTTAAGCATTAATACCACAACATACATTGGCGTGTTTATAGTAGGTATTCCTGATGAAACCAGTCCTCCAAGACTGACACATTTAGCACTATCAACTATGGGATGGAAGGAGATCACAAACCATGTCTTGGCTTTCCCTGGCGGTAGGATTATCTTGAGAATTCACTAGAGAACACTCAATTCTAAGTTCCAGTGTTGTCTGTTGAGCTGGATGGGTCTGAGTTCAGATGGGTTGTATATTACAGAGATTGTACTAAAGTTGATAACAAATAGAAGTACATTTAATTATTTTTTTTAAATTTGTCACCTATTTACCAATAATACAATTAATATGCAAACATTTTCAATCAGTTTCAGAGATTATCACAAGTTACAAATTCTTCAATTCATATAATTAAAATTCACAAAAAATTGCAATAAATTAAGCTTTCATGTTCATATCCATTCTCAAACAAAAAATACAATACAAAAACTCTTATCTAAAGCTAACATACAGAATGCAATCAAATATATAGCTTGACTAGTCTTTTCAGACAGTCGAGAATTTTCATGGCTATCCAGAACTTTATTCAGTCATTAAATATTCAAGATTCCAAAATTATCATAAATAAGGTACTAAGAATATATGCTTCCAATATTTAACAAAACAGATTTGGTGTGTGATCAAGAGTTTATACTATTATTTGTATCTACAAAAGTGAGTAGTGAAAACATTCAGCAGACAAGCCATCATATGACACAATCATGTCCATCATACAAAATTGTCAGATTGGGCCATATTATAGTCTGATAAATTGGTAGTTCATTTGGATTTAACTATAAATTAGGTTTTTAGTTGATGTTCTTACAGTGTGATTGTAAAGATCCTCTATAGTGGGTGGAGAAACAGGAAAAGCTTCCAGGAACAAAGTAATGATATTACAGCAGACTCAAAAAGTAATGCATATTGAAAGAGTTAAAGTTAGTTATGAATTCACCTGGCTGAGCCACATAGGCATGGTCCACTGTGGAGGATCTTTACAATTGTGCTGTGTTAGAAGTACTTGAAAAATTCTGCAAAATCACTTACAAAAAATTACTCCAAAATCAAAATTACATAACAATATACCAAGGTCCATCCAAGTATGACCTGGACTCAAATGGCACCAAATATATGATCTAGATTTTATAAGTAAACACCATAGGGCAAATTGCGATGTTTACTTAAGGAAAAAGTTCAATTTATATGGATCAAATGGTTTTCAATATTGCTAGCATGATTTTAAAAAGAACCAGAAACTGGCTTTAGTTGTACTTTAAAGGTGAAACCATAATGGTTTAGATGCTTTTTCTTTCTATAAAAAGCTTCCATTAGTCCAAATTTCTATTTAAATTTATTTATTTATTTTATTTATTTAAATAACATCAGATGACTACATCAGTAAGCTAGAATATAGTTTGCTGAATCATATCAAAAGTTCTTACAGGAGAACATTTTTCAGAACAGCAATACTTCAATAATAATTGGTTTCCAATAAAGAGAGAAATTTTGAACTAGCCAGCAGGTAATCTAGATCTAAAATCCATTGAAAACTTATGGGAAATTTTAGTTAAAAGATGTACAAAAACTGAAGCAATTTCAAATTACCTCTAAGTTTAAAAAGCAAATTATGGAATGCAATTTCTATTAAAACTTTACAATGCATGGTAGATTCAATGCTGAACAGAATTTTCTGTATGATAACTACAGATGATATATAATATTAAAACTAAGACTTTTAAATGATTATTTTTAATTTTTATGCTTCAGCTATTTAAATACAGTAGAGCGTCGTTTATCCGAATCAATTGGGGACTGAGGTTGTTCGGATAACTTATTTTTCGGATAACCGATTATGTACGAAAAAAATATATTAACCTATCCCATGTTGAAATTTTTCTTCGTTGCNTTACTGAAATATTGACACTAATTAACTATATACAAACTTCCAATGCAAACAAGAAATCACATTATTTCAATTAAAAAATTTCCCTCTGAAAGATGTTAGATAGATAACCACATGACTCTATTGTTAAAGGAAAAGTATGATGTACAGGGGAAAGACACTGCTAATTTGAGGTGGAGAGCATATATTTTAAGTTAAATAAATTAAAAATATGATTAAAAATTGCAGCTCAGCATTGTGACAATGTCACAAAATAATTTCTCATTGAGACATTATTTTTTCTCTTCTTATTAAATAATAATGTCTGAAATATGAGAAAGTACTTTCAGTAAGTAATTCCTGCAATTTTGGTTCTATTTCTCTTATATGATCTCAAGTTATTTTTAACAAATATTTTAGAAAATAATAAGAGATCACCATGTTCTACTTAGAGATATCAAATGTTAATTTTATTTTCTTCTTCTTGTGTCGATTCCGGCCATCTTTGGACCACGACAAACAAAATAAATATATTGAAAAATATAAAAACCAAAAAAAATATACTTTAGAAGTTGATCTAGTATCAAAAACATTGGATTCAGCATGACAAACTATCCTCAGAAAAACACCACACAAAAGTGCCAGTGCCGCCAGCTAAAACACACACACCAACAAAAAAAATATTGGAGTAGCCCAAGATATAGCCAAAGATTGCAGCGCCACAGAACTAGTGAAAATTTAAATTTGCCGACTGGAATGCTTTCGGATAAACAATGCTCTACTGTAATAGCTTACAAGACAGTTTTGAAATGGTGCATACATAATTTATCCTTTAGCTCGCATATTTTTAAATAAAAATATTTGAATTCTGTTTTCAGAAATTGTTCTAGATATATTTTCTTGAAGTGATGTCACTATTTAAATCACAATTAAATACATTTTGCATAAAAAACTAAAATTTGTTGTATGTGTATTGAAAAACCACAGTGGGACTATCCATATTTCTTTCACTTTACTGTCTAGTCTAAAAAAACAACGTTAGATTTTAATACAGTAGGTGATCGGTTAACGAACATAATTTGTTCCAAGACTTTGTTTGCTATTTGAATTGTTCGTTAAACGATTATTAATTTACCATAGGTTTTTACGGGAATTTGATTAATTTGTTCTGGAGATTCCAAAAAATAAAAAAATATACACTTTCTTACTACGTTTATTTATATGTAATAATAAAAATACATATATACACAGTCTTGCATTTTTATTAGTCATGTTTTTTCTGTTTCTGGGGGTTAAAGAATCTGTCTAATGTCGATTGCTTTTCTCTCTTCTTTAGGATTTTTCAGTAGTAATTAATAGCATTGTAATTGTAGAGATCCCTAAGCCTATTAACCTCAACTTGGTTTGGATGCCATTATAAGATTGTTATTCTGACATCCTCCCACTTCTTCAAAAGATGTTTAATAGCAGATATCAGCATTAATCCTCTTTTTTAGAAGAAAATATCTCGCTGAGTTTCTTGGTGTTCTTCATTCAAGAGTTCTTGGCGTTCTTCTGTCATCAGATCAGTTTCAGGTTCTATTATGAGCTCTTCAATGTTCTTTATTTCTCAGATCTGATTTTTGTTACATTTTTAGCTTCTTGAGTCTCCTTGATTATACTCTATCTTTCTTAGATAAGATTGAACTGTGGCTTACCGTAGACCTGTTCGAGCCATACTGCCCAGCAACATCAGACATCTTCTGCCCACTCTCTACCTTTGCTATTATACTCTCACCTTTTGAAAAAAAAAAAAAAAAACTGATGCAAAACTTGATGAGTGCCTGCCCGACAGTCTCGCAAATACTATAAAAGAATTGTTTCTGTCAGAAAAATAAAAGACTGGAATTACAAGGGAGAGTTTCAAAGTTCAGTTGAGCATTGATGCTGATGTCTCCCGCACTCTGAAAAGTTCTGAACTATTGCCTGAAGATGAGGGAAGATCAATCGGTATTCACTATTTTATGTCGCTTCTTATGTTTGTTCTGTGTTCATTATCCAATTTGTTCATTAACCAATCACCCACTGTATATATTATTAATTTGAAGGAAATTTTACAAAAGGGATATATTATTTAAGTCAGTTTATTAACATAAAATTAAACTATTAAATCCTTATGTAAATTCTTAGGATCTTTCAATCTTAAATAATTTACAAGACACTTACAAAATATTTATTAAAAGAATAAATATGAATTTTATAAAGTAATTTATTAAATTACCAGTATTTGAATTAAACAGCTGCAAAACCAATGGACGTCTTGTTACAATGCCAGATCCTCTTGGTAAGAAATCTCTATAATATAAATTAAAGTAAAAAAAATGTTATCCTTCCAATTCTTACTTTATAGTTAATTTTACAAAAATAAGTAATTAATGTAAATTTTATAATAATTAAATTATGTAAGTTTTTATGAGAAATAATTAACATAAAATCAATTATAATTTTGTATTAAATAATCTTTACTGAAATATTGACACTAATTAACTATATACAAACTTCCAATGCAAACAAGAAATCACATTATTTCAATTAAAAAATTTCCCTCTGAAAGATGTTAGATAGATAACCACATGACTCTATTGTTAAAGGAAAAGTATGATGTACAGGGGAAAGACACTGCTAATTTGAGGTGGAGAGCATATATTTTAAGTTAAATAAATTAAAAATATGATTAAAAATTGCAGCTCAGCATTGTGACAATGTCACAAAATAATTTCTCATTGAGACATTATTTTTTCTCTTCTTATTAAATAATAATGTCTGAAATATGAGAAAGTACTTTCAGTAAGTAATTCCTGCAATTTTGGTTCTATTTCTCTTATATGATCTCAAGTTATTTTTAACAAATATTTTAGAAAATAATAAGAGATCACCATGTTCTACTTAGAGATATCAAATGTTAATTTTATTTTCTTCTTCTTGTGTCGATTCCGGCCATCTTTGGACCACGTACAAACAACTAATTATGACTTGTTTTTCCCTCTCCCCTTCCCTTTGTTCTTCTTCCTTTCTTTCCAATACCTCTTCATTCTCTCGCTCTGCTGTTGTCTTTGCTCCTGAGTGAAGAGTCTTCCACGTCTGTTATTTTCCTTTTCCTGAAAACCCTTGAAGTTCTTTATTTTGTTTCTAAACCTTTCCCTGTTCTGGATATCTTCTTCCAATATGCCCATTTCTGCCATGTCTTTTTGAGTGTCATTGATCCATTGATTCTTATTCTTTAGGTTGTTGAAATACATAAAAATTTGTTTCGTTAGCCTATTTTCCCCCATTCTCTTTATATGCCCAAAGAAGCTTACTCGCCTTCTCCGAATTGTATCCGAGAGTCTTGGGACTTTTTGATAAAGCTCTTTATTGCTCCTTAGCACGTAGTTACCATGTTCATCTATTTTTGGCCCCAGAATTTTTCGAAGGATCTTCCTCTCTTTTTTCTCCATATTTTCTATTTCCCCCCTTTTAAGAGTAGCAATACCTTCTGCTGCATAAAGTGCTTGCGGTTTTATCACTGCATTATAATGTCTAATTTTTGCATTAATGGAGATTGATTTTTTGTTGTAAATGTCTTTGGAAAGTTGATAGGCAATTTCCAACTTCCGTGTCCTGGCACAATTTTATTTTATTATTACATTAAAACCATACTTATATCAGAATATATTGTATCAAATTATGAAAATTTGACATTTGCCTCATTGAACTTTAGCACTCTATCTTTACATAAGATAGATATTGAGATAGGAAGATATATGTTATAAGAATTTTCAACACTATGCATGACATTAAAATCAATGTTTCTTGGAACAATCCTGTTTTAATATAAGAATTTAGAGAACATTATACAATCCAACTGCTAGAGCAGATGTATATTTTCTCTAAATATACCAATATAATTTATGTCCATTATGCCACTCAATGAAGAATTGTGGAAAGGAAAACTTTGCATAAAATGTACATTAAATAAATAAATATATTTATTTAATGTATATTTTTATGTTAATTATCAATACGTTGTAAATTCTGATTGATAATTTGTTAATTAAAATTTACTCTTCTGTTATTCAATTCTGCAATTCAAATGTATTTTGTTCTTTGGTAGCTGATGATGGCCTAATAAAGGCTGAAAACATTTCTAGATTAATGAATGGTTTCGGTTTCCTAAAAAGAATATTTCAACTTTACATTTAAATATCTACATTAGATTTACTAAAACTTTGTTAAAAAATAAATGATTCATTAACTAATGAGAAATTCTGCTTTGCACAAGAAATTTGGTATTATATCCTTGATATAATAAAATATCTAAAAAAAATTTTAAAAAAGTAGTTTTTCAGACAAACAGATTCCTACTTAATGGAATCTTAAGTAATATCTATCCTTATGATTACATTAGGAATGAGAAAGAAAAACAAAAAGGTAATGGAAGAGAAATTGCAAAAACAAGCATATTATGTTAGACCAACAAGAACCCTGAATACCAGATTCAAGGATCATTTAGATGATTCTATGAAAAGCAAAATGACAACCTTAACAGAGATGGCATTAGACAAAGAAAAGAAAATAAATTGGAGGAATGCCAGCTTATTGGAAGAAATAAAGGACAAGAAAATTATCAGGAAAATATATAGATTTGGAAGAAAGGTTTGAGATCAGAAGTAATTAATATCAGAAATGGAGATGCATTATTAATGGAAATGGGTAATCAAGTGAAGAAAAAACTTTGATTAAAAGAAAACATCTGAGAGGGGGCACTATGTACAATTTGTCTGTGTAACAGTTTAAAATATTTTTAAGAAAAAGAAAACAAAATATTTTGAAAATGACTAAAACATTAAATTCCTCAGGCATTTATTCAAAAGCAAAAGCTGCAGTTAGCATGGCCAGTAACTCATGCTTTTGAAATGGTCAAGTACTTGACCAGCTCAAAAATATCTAGGCATTAGATAATAAACTGTTTTCTCAGATTGGTCTCTGAAAAATAGTTTCTTAATTTAATTTTAAAATTTTATCCAGAGATTATAGACTGAACAAAGATATATTTTTATGTATTTTCAACAAGAACAAAACACCTCTTACAAAAGGCAAATATAACATATACTCTAATGGAAAGATTTGAATTTGGAGAGTTACCATAAAAACTGATTTCTGCCTTTGTGAGATGGAGACAACTTATTTCAATGAAGAAAAATTTAGTTCAGCAATATACAGTAGGTATGTAAACTAAAAATCTACACAATTTTGACAGGAATATTTGATATCTTTTTTAAAAAATAAAGTTGAGAACATAATGTAGATTGTTGCTTAAATTTCATAGATTTAAATTTATATTGTCATAACAACAATATTTAAAACAAAATGAAGTAGCTTAATGAAGACCAAAGAAGAACTATAGTTGGCAAATTTTACAATGTGAGGAGTGGGGAAAAAGTTTTATAGTTAAACATTTGTGGATATGGGAGTCATAAAAATGATAGTTTACAGCATCACAGAAAGGAAAGTGATAAGACTGTTGCTAAATAACCGGGGAGTGGACAAAAGAGATTTAAAAATGACAGATAGCAAAGGGAATTCCTTTGGAAAAGTCAGTCAGTAAGAAAACTTAAAAGTTCAAAATAGCTCATCACTATGTTAAAAATATACAGATCAAGTGAAATGTCCTTTCAGAGTGAAAATCAACCCCAAAATATAAAAAAAAAAACAACTTGAATTGCTATGATATGTGAGAGCAATTTCAAGACTTTAAATGGGCTGAATGTTATTATGGACAATGAATCATTAATGAAAGCTTTACTTTTACTTTTGACTATGCTGGGAAAGCTGGGAACAGCATGTACTATTGTAAAGATGGGGTTGAAATTGATCCACAGATAAAATTTAAATACCATAAAAAAATTCCTCAGAAAGTGTTGCTTCAGATAGCAATCTCTCTAAAAGGATGATCTTAAGCATTCATAACACTCTCTTGCCTCACCATCAACAAATAATTATACATAAAGGAGTATATTAAGAGGCTGATTCCATTATTCAAAAAACACTACTCAAATGGCCTGTATGTCTTCTGACCAGACCTCGCAACTGTGCATTATGTAGCAGACACAGCTTCTGTGTTAGAAGAAGTAGTCTCATATCAGAAATAGAATAATGTTGTAAAGCTCCTCCTCATAAAATAATGTAAATGTTCCTTAGCTGTGCACAATTGAACAATTCTGGTACCAGCTGAAACAGGTGTACAAAAATGAAGCAGAACTGAAACAATGCACAAAGTCTAAATGCTACCAATTTAATTCACACTATTTTCAAACTTTGTTGGCTGACTTCAAGACCAAAATCAGAAAAACCACTGAGAACTAAGGGTCTTAATTTCAATAATATCGAAGTATCAGTACATCAGGAGGCTTACATTGTATGCTAGAATATCAAATCATATATAATAGCCTAAGGATTAGCATACAATATATTTATGCATGCTATAACTTCAGACATGCCATATAAACCTCCTATTCATATTGGATACCAGAAACTTTGGAATTATCAATAGTTGTTAAGACTAGACACCCATATTTTGTAATTTAAAGATAAAAGAAACTAATTTTGACAATTCTGTATTACTGGATAATCATATTGTAAAAAATAAAGAAGGTTGATTTTTGTGCAAAATTTTTGTTTGTATACTCATAGGATTCAATGTTTGAATTTTGTTTGGAGATAATTATGCTCATGAAAATGCAATTTACATTAAATACTTTCTTCGTTGCTGAATTCTTGCTGCTATGTAAACAACTAATAAAGGTTAATATACTTCAAAGTTAATATATCCCAGATTCAAATACACCTCTAAAAGCCCATCTCACCATTTTCTCCAAAGTATTGATGTTTTTTGCAGTTGAATTCTAATTTCCAATGAATCAGATTTCAGAACAAATCACTGAACGTTCAAATTCAGCACCATCAAAAACTACTAGGTAACATATTTCATTTGTAATATGCTATTCGGTAATTCTATTCAAATGCCATGAGTTTATTGGACAAATAGATATCTTCTGTCTGCAACAGGCTTTTTAAAGTTCATTCAATAAAGAAAAAAATGGTTGTTGACCTCCTCCCGAATGAAATAATATGAAGTACAATATTTTACTTAAGATACATTTAGTGTATATCACAAAACTTCCTTAAAAACAATACTTCTGGTAGAACTATCGTTTTTATCATCAGTACATGTAATTTTTTTTTTCATGAAAACTATTATTGGCTGAAATTAATGCAATTTTAAAGAAGCTATCCTGATAATTCTGTAAATGTCT